CGTAGAAAGTACGTACATGGTACGCTCACAATTTTGGTCAATTGTTAATTGTGTACGCGATCATGACATGCGCACGCGCTTTGCTCTATTAGGTGGATGGTACGCATGAGTCAATACTCATTAGTATAAAGGTGGTTATCACCACTATCGTACAACATTTTGTGCCCTTGACTATTTATTGTGAAATAAAACATCAATTAGAAGGTAACTTATTTTAGGGATTCGCTGCGTTAAATTTGAAAGCTCTACTAATTTTACAATGTAATGGAGAGATTCATAACCGTCATAAACTGTCTCGCTACGATGGCATATCATCATACGCACAGCGCTGGATTTACGGACGTACATTTCACGTACATGGTACGTAATTTTTGCTACAAAAGTATGTACTATGTATGTGCAGAAAAGAATATATTACGTACGTAAATACATGATACATATATACATAATGTACGTACGGCAAAGTACGTACCTAGCATCTACAGAGTGATGTAAAATTTTCTCTGAAAAACTTTACTGATTAATGGGAGATTTTTCAGTGATAGGGATCCAAACTCCACAGAAAAGAGAGGTTTGTCTATCCTTTTTAAAAACTAATTGTTAGAGTCTGAGTGTTCTTGTGATAAAACGTAGTACCGGTGGGTCTGGGGGGTGTGGAATACGCATTTTCACGCATTGATTAGTACTTCCCAAAAGAGAATAGCTATGTGCGATGTTTATCTTTACAAGAGGCGTCTATGGTTGGTTTTTGTAAGAAACGGTTTTTTATTTCTCTTTAATAAAAAAATATAGCCATTGTAAGCTTCAAGAGCCACCCTGTATGTATTCATATTAAATACTTATGTAAAGTGCAATAATAGCCGATAAAGTTGTAACGTTATTTTCTTGCCGATTGATACTCCTCATTTTCATTCCGCTTAAGTAATTTGTGCTCTTATTTACAGTGACTTTATAGAGACAGTGTGGTCATATGTTGGTGTTATTTTCTATTGGTAGTTGGGAAATCCGCAATGTTTTGCCCAAATACACCGAAGTGGTAGAAATTAGCCTGGAAACCAAGGTGCTGAATTTAACTTCCTGGACACAAATGGGACAGTATTATTCTAACCAAAAAAATCTACTAATTCGGTTAAACCATAAATTCGAAAAAAACATGATACACTGTCTTTATACTGTCACTGTACTCTTATTTAAATTCTTACGCCACTAGTTTAAAGATGATAGTTTTTGTAGTAGAGTTCTTTCGCATAGTTCTCTATTTTTCGCTGTTATAAATTTCTTATTACAATAGTTCTTTGTTTTACCGCCCGAGGTTGGGCAGACTTCTCTTTCATTCTTTTCGGCGCACGCCCTTCTTTGTACAAAATGACATTCAAGAATTGATTCTGTATGCAGATGACACTACCCTTTTAAGCAGATGTAAGAATCTGTGTGATTACACTACCAGTTCACTTAATAGTATTAAAGATTGGCTAAATGATAATAAATTGCACATAAATTCACAAAAATCGCAAACATGTACCTTTAGTTTAAAAGAAATAAACCATTTCAATAACCCAGCAAACATAAACTTTCTGGGTGTTTACATTGACCCTAAACTGAATTGGAATGATCACTGTAATAAAATTGCATCGAAACTGTCAAAAGCATGTTTTGTTTTAAGAAGTTTAAAAATAATTGCCTCTAGACATATTATCATTAATGCGTACTATGGTTACTTCCATTCGGTTATGAGTTACGCTATAATTGCATGGGGTCACTCGACAGGTATTAAACGGGTCTTTGCAATCCAACGACGTGCATTGCGCATTATTAGTAATTTGGGATACAGAAGCTGTTGTAAAGGTAAATTTATCGAATATGGTATTTTAACTCTCCCTTGTGTATACATATTAAATCGTATAATTCACTGTAAAGAAACTCATTTGAATTACCAGACAGGACGTGATATCCATCAATACTCTACCAGACTGTGTGATAATATTGCTTTAAAACGAATACGCCTTACTACTAGTAAAAATTGCAACAATTATTATTGCATAAAGTTTTATAACAAAGTACCCTCGGATTTAAAAACACTGCCTATGAGTAAATTAAGAAATGCTGTGATTAGTTACCTTAAGAATAACGCTTTTTACACTTTTGATGAGTTCCTACTAACTGATTGGTGTTCTAATATTCTGTGATATTTTGTCTATTTTACTTAAGTGTTTTACAGTACTTTAACTTGACCTTTTTTTATATTATTTATATGTATAAATTGCTCTGTTAGTAGATGCACTAGTTTATAGTAAGTTGACGACACTGATATAGTTTATATACTATGATAGCTGGAACATTTAAAGATTAAAGATTAAAGATTAAAGATTAAAGATAATTATTACATTTACTTAATATTCCCTTAGCGATTTTAGCTTCGTTGTCTTCTGCGGAAGCCTCTTTTGTTATTAATATTTTCTCTGGTTACGTATTGATTCCTCCTTTTTTTTAAAATAAGAATTAATTAAAATTTATTCACCCTCGATTGTGACGTCGCTTATTGTTTATGTCCCACAATCAATCAAGTAGACTATTTCTTTTTAGCTTACCGAGACTAGAACAAGAATCTTTAGTCTGCCTTGTTTCCCCCTTTTTGGTAAGTTTTACCCAAAGTTAACGTAGGTAACAAGGTCTTACGGGATTCCTTAAAAACAGGGGAGGTTTTTTTCTGTTCGGACCAGTCTTTAATTCACATTTAGCATTTACAGGGCGCTTCTTTATGTTAAACTGAATATGCAAGAGGTAAAAATGTTCAACGAATTTTGTGAAATACTGGCAGCGTTTTCCCGTCTGAGACTTTTCTTCAGTTCATTGAATGAAAATGAAATTCATTATCTTAAAGTGAGTAGGGAGCAAAAATGAGTGAGAAATACTTATGGAAAACAGCGTCCGGTATACTTTTTTAATTTATACTGTTAAACCGCAACTAAATAACTTTACAATTATTGCAAAAATTTTTGTCCCTTAAAGTTTCTCCAAAGTATAGGGTTGTAAGTATAAGTTGCCCTTCATTTCCGGTCTAATGAAACGAATGGGGCTCGTATTTAAACAAATAAAAGCTGTGCCATTTGACATGAATTCTTGTACAAGTTGAATCTTAAGGAGGGGTAGATAGTTTGCAATAAAAGTGTCTTGAGTGGACGAGAAGTACAGTTGCGAATTGCGATATATCTTAAAAGATATATGTGCTGGATAAGATTGCGTGTTCTTGACGTTGATGTAATGTGCAATCCAAATCTAATTTTGCATCCAGGTTTAATAAAAATGAGGAAGTGCTGGAATTGAAAAATTTTTACCATATGATTAAAGCGCATCTCTGGAGAGACGCTATGAAATGTAAAATCTTCATTCATGATTTTATGAACTACAGGTCTCCCCCACAGCTATATAGCAAAATACAAGCTTAACGACGAGTATGTCATAACCTTTTTATCTCCATGCGGGCAGTAAAACAAAAACCTTGTAAAAGATGAGGACTAAAATATGGCAATCGATAAGTGAAACGCTCAAGTAGTGATCGACGAGGTAAGTAGTAATAAAGTGAACTTCCCCCATTTATCGTCAAAAAGGACGAAGAGATAATTGAAAACCCTTTCGTCCGTTTAAAGGATTCAGCAAGTTTGATCGCCTCCAATCTGTAACACAGAAATGCAAGCTACAATTTATTTCACTTATTAATTATACTCGTGAAAACTTCCCCCAAAGTTTAATTGGAAGTTTAAATTTTAATGGAGACGATATTTAAGAAAATGGAAAATCGATGCCACCTAAAGTGCGGGATTAACGCAACGCGACCGGCCCGTATGCAGTCCCCATTAATTTGTCTTCTTACAAAATCAATTTAGGAATATCATTCGAGCGTAATGCAGGTGCAGCTTGTCCGCGGACTGGTGGATTTCGAAGAAAATTAAATGAAAATCGTAGTTCACGGCTAGTAAAGCGGAAATGGAATAATTCCGCAAACGCTCCAGAAAATCTGAACTAATGGCGCAAACCGACATTAACTCTTCCTCGTTATTACTTTTGCGGCTGTGAAAATGTCTAAGGCTCAGTTTTGCGCCGAGAAAAATTGAATTACGCATATTCACGACGTGCTTTGTTTAATTGCTCGTTTTAACACAATTTACTGCAACATATAATTTCGACAAAAACGTTTACTTTCATTTTGATGAAGTTAGGGTAAGAGGTAATCATGTGGAGTCCTTTGCTTTTAAGGAAACCCTTTTAAAAGAGGGTTGGACATCGTTCCTGTTTTTTTTATCGCCAAAAATTCAAAATTGAATTCCCTTTCACTCCCCATTAAATTCACCTGAGCTGTTCCTCCACACTAAATTTTTTTGCAGGTTATAAACGTTCTGGGCATATGATCTCCGGTCCTCCGTTACCACTTACTAATAAGGTTGAGCGCCACTCAATTTCCATCTTTGCTCTCTCGTTATGAAATTGAGAAGATACGAGGGTAGTAATAACAGTACAAATAAATTTAGGTAGGTATACCAAAACAAATACTGGTTTATTCCAAAGTCAAAAGGTATATGAAGGATAAATCTGGAATATACAAAATAAGTTGTAAAGATTGTAGTCTAGTATATATTGGGCAAACAAAATGATCCTTAAAGATTGGGTCACTTTAAAAATAATCGCATACACTTGAAAATAGTCATACAGTTGACGATATTTGCCTAGTTAAGCAGGTACATAGTAGAAATGAATTAGATTGTTATGAAAGTTTAGAGATTCGTAAAAAGAAACGCTTTCAATGGGGGGTAGTTTAACAAAACGGCGCAATCTTGGCGGATACTGACAATAAAGCATCCCAAATTTATTCCAGGTTAATTACAATTGAAGGAAATTAAAAAATAGGTCAGCTTACCTTTTCCATGGACTTTCGTTTCACTTGTAAAGACGTGAAGTCATCCTTTATTGGGACGGAATAAGTTAGACATAATTAAAGCCACACGTCAAAATTATGTATTTATTAATTTGAATTTGGGAGACATGAACATTATTTACAAGAGACAATGAATTGTAAAAAAATAAGTTTCATTAAACTTGTAATAAAGACATCCACTAGTCTACTGTTAAGCGCAGTGTTGCTCTAAGAGGGTAGTTTTTACCCAACTTTAAATACTTATAATTAATACTCTTTATACAGGTACAGGTAATGCGACGAGTTTCAATTAAAAGGTGCACATCAACATTGAATTGTAACATGAATTGCACACGTAACATTTACATTTTGCTGCAGACGTGATCGGTGCCGTTCCCAAGGAGGGTGATCGACGTTTCTTGTCCCAATAGGTTCGCGCGTCTATTAGTTGACATATTTCTATTTTTGAGGGTGGAGGGTACTCTACGGGTTGACATCATTGTTAAGGAAGTCGCGTGTTGTCCTTGACAGGTATTACATCTCGTCCGTTTTGGCTTTGTGCACAAGAGGTACCTAAATAAGACTAATCTTACAAACTGAATACAACTCATCAACTTAACTAACCTATTGAAGTGCTTCCTAAACGTCCCACTAACCCAATAAAGTGCAATGGGATTCGCGCACGAGTTTAAGTACGACAGGCAAAATCCAATAATCCTCGTATAATGCCAGAAGGCGTTGTAATACTCCTCCGAGTCCGGGTAGAAGTAGAAAAACAACATAAAGACGTGCGAGGGTAGAAAACATATCGCGAAAACTAATACGAAAATTAATACCGTAATCGCCACCTTCTTCCTGGCGCGAATCTGAAAACGACGTCCAAATTAAAACGCCAACTCCCCAAAGCGATTCTCTCACCTGCTTTTGCGTTCCCTGCACCTCGCCCGGAACGTTCTTAGTGCTTATAATTAAATAGTTGGCCATCTTTAGGTAAAATATCGCGATTATTGTTAAGGGTAGAATGTAGAGGATTAGAAACCTCATCAGTACGTTTATTTTGGGATACTGGTGATTCAGCCAGTCCTGCGGGAACGGGTAGCACACGGTGAAGCTGATCGTCTCGTCCGGGCTGCTTATTTTCTTCAAATGCGAACCTATCGCCGCAGGTACCGCGCACAATAGTGCAAGGATCCATATTGATATTGCAATTCCCAAAGTTAACCGGGTTGCTTTACGGCTCCCACCTGGAAAGTCAATAGTAGTTGAAACGAGCGTGATGAGTACAACAAAACAAGATTGCATTTCCCGAAGGAAAGCTGTCGGTATCGTCTGGCTTTTCATGTGCGCTTTAATAGTAAATCCCTTTCAAGAACCTAATAAAATTGAGGACTGTGACCAGTCTCGTGCCTCAGTTTTTACATTCATGTAATAGACTCATCTTCAAGGATTCGCCCCAGGAAAATTCTCCTCTGAGAACTATACCTCGGAAAATGCTCCCTTAAATCGTAATGAAATGCGACAATTTATTTTTGTTTTACACTAAATTTCCTCGAGAAAGGCGAATATATCAAAGAGGAAGCGAATGTATCACGAAGTATTTTTCGTTAGAAAGAATCAGGGGCCCCTCTTCAAAAATATTTGGGTGCACTTTCCCTTACGCTTAATTTAACCACTTGGATTGCTAATGACAACCATCTTACAAATATATAAATGAAAGTTCACTAGAAATACCCCCCGGAAGATTCGGATTCTTTAATAAACCCCTAAAGAGCATCTAAAAAAGCGACAGAGCACCTCGGTGTGACCCTACGGGGTCATTGGGTTTGACCCATTCTCAATAGGCTTATTACTTGTGCCATATAGGTCAACTGTGTAAAGTTTGAACCAAATCGGTCCAAGCGTTTGACAGTTATCATGTTCACGTATAGACGGACAGACGGTTACCATCGACTCCCCTAACAAGTATAGGTCTTCTATTGAATGACGTCACAATATAGAATTCTGCATTCTCTTGAGTGAGTTCCACTATGGAATTTTCGTCCATTCTGAGCCGTCTGATTTCAAAATTTCGAACGGCAAGTACGGAGTACCGTTGGCGTATCTGCACACGCCGCTGGAAATACATTTAAACTCATTTAGTTTGATTAGCGATTTCAATTCTTTGTGTATGAATCTGCCTTTTTTAAATGTCGCTAACTGTAAATGCTGGAGTCTTAAAACTATTTAGCGGCATTCATCTCGAAATACAACTTCAGTCGAAGGTTACCGTATCCAGGACCTTCAGATATCTGCAGAACTGCAGAAGGTCCCGCTAATTAACAAAGTATTTCATGTACTTTATGTAAGTAGACATCGGAATGTTATTTTTGACAAATGGTAAATGAGTGGAGTTGCTTTTAAATCTATTTGAGCTGGCTATTTTGGAACATTATCAAATTTCTTATTAAATTAAGGTCAGATTTAAATTATTAAAATTCAAGAGTCACTTCCTCGGATTGTTAATTTTTGTATATTGTAACACAAGCGTAACATTGAAGTCGGAATCAATTTTCCGAGGGGGCATATGTCTAGAGACAAGATTTGTGAGTGGTAAAATTACAGCGACAAATCCAGCGAGGACTATTCCTCAAAATATCGTGTCCAACTTAAAAATCCATTACAGTTGAGCAGGGGCATTGTTTAAATAAAGTATTTAAACAATGGCAGGGGTTTATCACACCCGCTTGATGATTTTATTGTGGTTGGTGTTAATTATGCATGTAGGTATAACCATTGATTGCAATAATGCTTGTCGATTATCGATAATTTTTCCTTATTATGAAGATTTGGCACCTTTGGCAAAGGTCGAAATTTTGGTGCAGTCGATTTTTGGTAAAAAAGGAAGGTTATACACTGCCTTTTTTTGCCCCGAAAAAAAAATTGTCTCAGAACGACCGGGAAAAAACATTTTCTTAAAGAATGTGGCCTCTGGTATTCATAATTTCAAACAGTTCCAAGATTGGGCTACTAGATCAAAAGTTACAACCCTTTGAATTTTCTTTCGAAATTGGTTTCTGGTCCATAACTTTTGATTGGGAAGTCTAATCGAAAAAGTACGAATCGTTTTGGATTCTACGCACCAAAATTAATAAGAAAAAGTGTTTTCCCGAGAAATTTTGGTGCAGTCGATTTAGGTAAAAAAGAAGGTTATACACTGCCTTTTTTTTGCCCCGAAAAAAGAATTGTCTCAGAACGACCGGGAAAAAACATTTTCTTATAGAATGTGGCTCGTAGAATCCATAATTTCAAACAGTTCCAAGATTGGGCTACTAGATCAAAAGTTACAGCCCTTTGAATTTTCTTTCGAAATTGGTTTCTAGTCCATAACTTTTGATTGGGAAGTCTAATCGAAAAAGTACGAATTGTTTTGGATTCTACGCACCAAAATTAATAAGAAAAAGTGTTTTCCCGAGAAATTTTGGTGCAGTCGATTTTTGGTAAAAAAGGAAGGTTGTACACTGCCTTTTTTTGAGGCACTCAAAAAAAATTTTGTCAGATCGACCCGGCAAAAAATTTTTCTAATAGAATGTGGCCTGTAGAATCCATAATTTCAAACAGTTCCAAGATTGAGCTGCTAGTTCAAAAGTTACAGCCCTTTGAATTTTCTTTCGAAATTGGTTTCTAGTCCATAACTTTTGACTGGGAAGTCTAATCGAAAAAGTACGAATTGTTTTGGATTCTACGCACCAAAATTAATAAGAAAAATTCTTTTCCCGAGAAATTTCGGTGTAGTGGATTTTTGGTAAAAAAGGAAGGTAATACACTGCCTTTTTTGAGGCACGAAAAAAAAATTGTCTCAGATCGACCCGGAAAAAAATTTTCTTATAGAATGTGGCCTGTAGAACCCATAATTTCAAACAGTTCCAAGATTGGGCTACTAGTTCAAAAGTTACAGCCCTTTGAATTTTCTTTCGAAATCGGTTTGGAGTCCTTAACTTTTGATTGAGAAGTCTAATCGAAAAAGTACGAATCGTTTTGGATTCCACTGCCTTTTTTTTTGCTCCGAAAAAAAAGTGTCTCAGAACTTTATAGAGAGAAATCCGAATGGGAAGGATTTTGTCATTATCTTTATGTACATCCTGGTTAGAGTTGCTAAACATTATCAATAATTATCGATAAATATCAATAATCGATAAATATTGATAATCGAGCTATCGATAATTATCGATAATATCGACCGACTTCAATTCTCATTTATTCATCCCACCCCTTTCTGTCCAATCTCTTCTCCTGTTGTGCTGTCCCGATCTCTTCTGTTTTATCCTGCTCTCGCTTGTGCTATGTTCTGCTTCCTGACGTCTCCTGTACTCTCCTGCTCCCTACCGTTTCATGTTCTTTCCTGCCGTCTTTTCTACCTTGCTCTCTTGTCATCTATCTTGCATAGTGGACAGATACAGTTCTGTACAATCGTCTCCCATTTACTGCTCACTCTTGTCCAGTTACGTATACTCCTTTTCTGCTTTCTTCTGTCTTAACGTACACTCAAAGGCTTTATACTGCCTTTTCCTGTTCTGACTCTTTATTATCCTGCTTTGATCTGTCTTCGCTTCTGTCTCTCCTGTCCTATTCTCGGTGTGGCATTCCAGTCCTTCACCTACTGCGCTCTTCTGCTTCCTTACGTTATACTGCTCTTGTCATCTGCTGCTCTTTTCCGCCCTCTCACGCCTTTTCTATTCCCTGCCCTCATCCATCTATTTATGTTCTCTACCGCCGTATATAGTTTTTCCAGTTCTTTCCTACAATGTCATGTCCTGTTCTCTCTTCCTCTTCCACTATTATCCCTTTCCTCCCTCCATTCACTATCTGTGTTCCCTTGCTGTTTGTTTCTTCTACCACCCCCTGCTCTTCTGCTCTTACCTGTTCTCTAATGCTTGATACTGCAATGTTCCGCGTTCTTATGTAGTGTCTTGCTCCCTCTCGCCTTTCACAGTGCTTTTTTGCTTCCTCTCTTCTGCTCTGTCCTGTTTCTTTCTTATTCAGTTCACACATAACCTCTCCCATCCCATCTGTCTCTCCATATTACTCCGCCCTGATCTGCCTCCTCTTACCGTCTCCAGTCCCCTACTGTGTTTTCCTGTTTTCGTGCTGCCCCATCTTCTCTTGCCTACTTTTATGCGCTCCTGACACTTCCTGCGTCTTATATCTTCTAATATCATCTGATATCTTTTTGTATCCAATCCTGTCCTATTCAGTCTTTTCTTGTCTTCTCTTGCCCCCTCTTTCCCTGTTCCGCCCTCTCCTGTACTCTCCTTCGTTTTCCTATTCTCGACTGTATTATCCCCCCTCTAACCTGCTCTCTTTCCCCCTGCCCTGTGATATGGCTCAGATCTCTGGAATTCTTCAAATTCATGAGATTCTTCTTCCGAATCTTCGCATTTTTCGAATTCGACTCCATAACATCCTAATAATTTGGATCCTTGGGATGCTCGAGATCCTTTAAATTTCATAATTTTTTCAAACTCTTAAAATCGTTTAAGCCCTTTAAATTCTTCCAAATATTGACATGATTTTTTTAATTCTTCAGATTTTTCCAATTCTTTTTTTAAAGATTTTCTTTTCCAATTCTTTTATTTTTCGCTTGAAGTTTTGAAATTTTTTCAAATTCTTCACTTCCTTCACATGCCTCATATTCTTTCAGTTCTTGAAATTTATAATAACCTTTATAAGGTAGCCACTGCTTTCATTTTTTTCCAATTTTTCAAATTCTTCAAACACTTCAGAGCACCTTCGTTTTCGATGGATTGTAGAGGTGTTTTGTCTATAACGTTATTTATCGATATTTATCGGTATCGATGATTTTTTACCTGCCTGAAGTTACATTCGCTTTTTTTTAAGGACATTCGCTTTCGGGGTAGTACCAACCTAAACGGGAAAACAAAAAATAACTAGGACCGGGCTGAAGTTACATTCGTTTTTTTTTTAATCAATGGCCATCGAAAGTGATGGCACCGGGACCAATTCTCATCCCCTTTTCGGAAAATAGCCCTAAACCCCGACAAATTCGTCCCCGAAGTTGACAAATTCCACAAGTGTGTGAGTGAGTGAGTTTTGCACGCGGAGGATAAGGACGCCGTGGAGGCCCAAGGGGCCACCTAAAACCCTCTACCTGTAGTTTTTCGAAAAGTGCCCCACAGTTCGAGAAATTCCCTTTTGTTTGGTCAATGGCGCGGTATACGAATAATGCAAGTTGCAATTCAAAATTGATTTATTAAAATTGAGGGAGTCCTTATCCTCCGCGTGCAAAACTCACTCAATTTTAATAAATCAATTTTGAATTGCAACTTGCAGTATACCGCGCCATTGACCAAACAAAAGGGAATTTCTCGAACTGTGGGGCACTTTTCGAAAAACTACAGATAGGGGGTTTTAGGTGGGCCCTTGGGCCTCCACGGTGTACTTATCCTCCGCGTGCAAAACTCACTCAATTTTAATAAATCAATTTTGAATTGCAACTTGCAGTATACCGCGCCATTGACCAAACAAAAGGGAATTTCTCGAACTGTGGGGCACTTTTCGAAAAACTACAGGTAGGGGGTTTTAGGTGGGCCCTTGGGCCTCCACGGTCCTTATCCTCCGCGTGCAAAACTCACTCAATTTTAATAAATCAATTTTGAATTGCAACTTGCATTATTCGTATACCGCGCCATTGACCAAACAAAAGGGAATTTCTCGAACTGTGGGGCACTTTTCGAAAAACTACAGGTAGAGGGTTTTAGGTGGGCCCTTGGGCCTCCACGGCGTCCTTATCCTCCGCGTGCAAAACTCACTCACTCACACACTTGTGGAATTTGTCAACTTCGGGGACGAATTTGTCGGGGTTTAGGGCTATTTTCCGAAAAGGGGATGAGAATTGGTCCCGGTGCCATCACTTTCGATGGCCATTGATTAAAAAAAAAACGAATGTAACTTCAGCCCGGTCCTAGTTATTTTTTGTTTTCCCGTTTAGGTTGGTACTACTCCAAAAGCGAATGTCCTTAAAAAAAAAGCGAATGTAACTTCAGGCAGGTCCTTATTATTCTTCCCCCGTAAACTCGTTCCCTGTTCGCTAGCCTAGAAACATTTCTCTTCTTCCGGAATATTCTGCCCTCATTCTCCGTTAAATAGCCAGCGAGTACATGCCATTTCCTTCTGAAGTGATTCAACTGCAGAAATCTATTTCATGATTTGGGATGGTGAATTTTCGGAAGCGAACTTTCACGAGGCGAATTGTTCGGAGACAGTTTTTCGAAGGAAACCTTCTAGGAGCGTATATTCGTACGGAAGGTTTTCCTGGATCAAGCCGAGGAGTAAACTTTCCTGGAGGCAAATATCGCTGGGGTGACTTTTCATTTGACTCTTGACTTTGACAAATTTTACAATTTCCGGAGGGAGAGCTTTCTGGGGACCAGATGTTTCAAAGATTAGCTTTCGCACGTGAATTTTCCGGGACAAGTAATCTTTTTCCTGACCGTGATTTCTTTCTGAGGAGGACGGGATACGTTTCTCTTGAGCTCCTTTTCTTGTGGATTTTTTTAATTATTGCCTGATTGACTATAATTGTTTAAGTATGCAAGAAATAAAATTCATTTAGTCAATAACATTAATATTTGTAGCGCGTAGATTTCGTAACTAAATACTGAATGTAATACTAAAAGTGTACTTCAGTCATTTATAAAAAGCACGTACCCTTCATAAAATTACTTTTGCAATGCTTCAACGTGGAATTCAAGATTATAACAATTTTCGATTTTAGTTAATAAGCGACCGGCACGTACTTCTGCATCTACGTGACATAAATTTCAGCGCATCCCTGCATCATTTAAAAGTACAAATAATTACATTTTCGTATTATCCCTTTTCTCTACCTTCGTCACAGGCCTGATTAAGAAATTTATCGAATGTCGGACATTCTGTCGTTTTTTCCTGGTTTCTAAGACGCCAGAGAGTTTAAATTGAACAAAAATGCTGCGAAAGTTCGTAAGTTATTCGCAATTCCGTACGCTTTAAAATTCAACCCGTTTCCCGGGAGGAAAGGCACAGTTCCATTTTGATTAACTTGAAATTCTGGCGCGCTTAATAAAAGATTCGGAAATGTAACTTTCATCTTACCGGTGGCGTGTAGCTTCTTTAAAGGGTCAACTATCGCAAAGAATCGGTCGGCGGACAGGGCCGTTAGAGTAAAAACGGAAACGCCGATCGATATGTCTTTCGCCGTTTCCGAAAGCTTGCAGATTAGCTCACCCCAAGGCCACGATTCGACGGTGTAAACGACGGATGTAAATGGGACGCTCGTAATTATCACTAGTAGGTCGGCCAAGGCCAGGGATAATATGTACCTGTAACAGCTTGGACGTGCAAGTAGCCCGGAAGGGGTTGGGGGTTACTTACGTGTTGGGGACATTTCGCATTGTCCGATGGCGCATGAATATCACCACCAGGGTTCCATTACCGATCACTCCCAGCACGAAAATGAGGAAAAACAGGACGGGGACGAAGTACGTTTCTGGACGTTCGTAGTAGGGTACAAAGTCCGTCTCTGTACCGTTTGGGGGAGTCGTAGTCAAGTTGAAGTACTCATTCGATAGAGTTGTATTGCAACAATACAGCGAGTCTTCGGTCACTTCGGTCTCATTATTCATTGTCGAGGAGCACTTGCTAAACACCAAATTCGACTGGGCCGCGTTCAATTCGCATCTTGAAATCTGGAATAAAAACAGTACTATAGCAATTATAATAATTTAACAGGTGAGGGTGAGGACGGTTTAATTACACGCGTGCCGTATCAGTTCAAAATTTTTACCCCCTACCGTGAGGTAAAAAAAAGCTCCAATGTCAATCATTCCTAAAAACGTATCTTTCTGTACTAGCTAGTAAATTCATTATGGCTCCGTGGAACCATTCCCTCACCTAGCTAAAAGAAGTAGAAAAATTAGAAGAACTAGAGGAACTGGACAGACTTTGGATCTAAAGAATCGGAATCTTTCGATGAAATTCTTGATAATTTGAAGAATTGGAAGAATTCGTAGAACATTAGGGATCTGAAGCATCTGACGTACCCGAAGAAACTACGGAGAAGTAGGTACGAACAAATCCAAAGGATATGAAGAATGAAGAAAAACAAAAGAAAATTACAAGAATTCGAAGAAACTTAACAATTCAAGACTGAATGGTCTGAAGAAAATTTGCAATTTCCAAAGAAGATTCAAAAACGTAGAAATAGAAGAAATTCAAAGCTCTGAAGAATCTGAAAAGATGGAAAATGGAGAGAAAGATAGTAATCTGAAAACTAATGGTAACAAAACGAAGAATTGAGCGGAAGAGTAAAAAAAATCAAAGGATCCAATAATCTAAAGGAACCTCAACAGCATAAAATATCTAAAGAATCCAAGAAATTCGAAGGATTGTAAAAATAGGAAGAATTAAAAGGATGGGAAGTGTATTAGTCCGGATAAGTAAAAAAATTGTAAGAATTCGACGAAATGGAGACATATTAAAAACCGCAAGAATATGAAAAATAGAAAGAATAGGCATGGAAAACTAGAATTTAAAAAAAAACTGGAAGAATGTACCGAGGAACCTGAAAAATAGAGAAAATTTAAGAATCAGAAAAATGAGAAGCAACTGAGGAAAACCGAGGAGCTTCAGGGATATGAGCAATCTGAAAAAAATGACTAATCGAAGGAATCCAAAAGTAAAAAAAAGGGAAGAATCCGAAGATATGTCAGATTTTAAAGAATCAAAACCAGACGCAAGCAATCCTCAGCACCTAAAATACAAGAATGCAAAGGGTCTGAAGGGTTAAAAATATCGATAATTGTAAAATCCAAGGAATCCCAAGTATCCAAAGAAAACTCCGAACGTTTTAACATACAAGAAATCCAAACAGTTCGTGAGGCCTGAAGGCGTTTGTAAGAATTCAAAGAAACAGGCTGTGAACTGGAAAAAAATTGTAGAATCTGAAAATGGAAAACGCTGAAGATACTGAAGAACTGAAGTTTTAGATAATTCAAAATTTTATCAGAAGAAATCAAAGAGCCAGATAGAATAACTTGAATAATGAATATCCTGTACAAACGGAAAGGATGGAAAACAGTACATAGAACCTGAAGATGGGAAAGAATTGGATGGGAAGCTTGCAAACAATATTCCACAAAAATAACGAATCAGAAGAATATAAAGTAGAAAAGAATAAAGAATAATGAAACATGGAAGAACCACTTTGTGAAGAGAGATAAGGTAAAGGGAAGAGAAAAAGGAGGTATATTAGCAGGGGTAAAAAGGAAACGAAAGAGGAGGAAGAGAAGAGAGTAATTACTATATACAACAGGAAGGAATCAAAGAATAGATACGGTAGACGAAAGGGAAGAGGAGGGGGTGATTTTACAGCCAGAACTGGAATTAAAGGGAAATAGGTAGATATAGAGGAAGAGGATACAATAGTAAATGAAACAAATAATGGAATAAATAGAGGTAGGAACAAGGATAGACTTGAGTCTAAAAGGGACTCAAGAAATTAAAAGACGAAAAGAGGGAGAATGTACAGAAGAGAAAAATAGGTATAGAGAAATAAATAAGAGAAATATCCTAGAAAATGTAAAGAAACAGAGAAACAGAATGAATACGAAGAGCAAATCACGGAAATAAAAACAGAAAAGGATTTTTAGAAAGTGATAAACAGAGGAAAAAAATAGAACAAGTGGGAGGGAAATACAATTAGAGAAATGGAAACACAAATTTGTCAAGCTACTATAAGGAAAGCAGGAGAAGGAGGAGGCCATGTAAGAGGCAGGAAAGACAAGGTTGATGGAGATGCGGTAACAAAGAGAAGATCGAGCAGCGAAAAAAAAAACGGCAGTGAGAGACAAGATAGGTAATGAGGCTTGCATTTTGGCCACATACAGGGTCAGGGAAAGGATGAGAATTCTAAATCTAAAGGTAAGAGAAAGGGGGCGTTTACCCGAAGAATGGCATGATCTTCAAAAGAGGGAACAAAGCTTGTGTGGAAATTATAGGGAAACTACTGATAATGACTGCACTGTGCAATGATACTGAACGAGAAATGGAAGAGAAGGGAATGTTTGAGGAAGCACAATTGGAAATCACAAAAGAGAGGAAAACGATGGACTGCATACGTTTACAAGATGGAAGAGGAATTGGAAAAAAAAGGCAGAAAGGTTTTCGCGTTTTTCATGGAGGGCGACGTTTGACAGAGTGGAAAGGGTAAAGTATACTCGTAGAAGATGGGAAAATTAAGAATTATGTGGAGAAGATGGTAAGATGGTAAGAATAGAAGGTTAGGATAAGGATCCCTACTTACCCCAACCTTATCTAATCTCTACTTAGGAGACATGGTAATTAAGGACATTAAGACAGGGCCAAGGTGGAGAGAGTAGTTGGAAGAAGAGTAGAGAAAAGTCGAAGATGATGAGATTTGGGAGGAAGAAACAGGGAGATAGAATGGAAATGTAGGGAGGAAAGAATAGAAATTAAATTTTTAGTGTACCAAACAATGAGCCAAGTTAGAGAATTAAGGAAAAAGGAGGCGGTGGCGATGAGACAGGTTAGGGAATTGGAGAGAACGGGTTCAAGAACGATTTTAGAACAAGGAAGTACCTGCCGATGCAATGGTGGGGGGTGGTGAAATATGGGGAAGAAAGGAATGGGAGGAACTAGAAGAAGAACAAAGAAATATTAGGTTTACAGAATGACACCAAATTGTATATTAGAGGGAGAAACAAAAATGGAAAAGATAACACCAGGGCGTAGGGCGGTGTGATTTGAGGAAACGAGCGACAGAGAAAACGAATTGGTGAAAGAATGCTTCCACAACAAGGAGGAACTCAAAAGGAATGTGGGAAGAACTAATATTACCAAAGTAATGGATACGAACGATCTAGTAATGGAGTCGTTACCAAAATATTTGATGGAAGGGAGAAAAAGTATTAAAACAATAGCGAGATTCAGATGTGGGAATGAAAAGAGAGGGAAAGAGAAATGGAGACAAGACGAAGAAAGGAAATGTAGAATTTGCGGAGAGGAAGCCGAGGGCATTGAACACACGTTATGAAACTACACAGATAATTTATTGAAAAAATAAAAATATCGTGCCCACCAAGTGCGAATATTCTAGAAAATTACGTAAGTTAAACGAGAAGGGACTTTAATTTTAAAGGGCAGTTTCAAGATTAGTCATACATTTATTTATTGAGGGCAGTTGCAGGTGAATAGTTTTGTAGTGAATTTATCAGTTTTCCAACTGTTCCGGTAAGAATATTTAAATTGTTTTTATAGCCGCCGAAAGAAAAAGGAGGCAAATTAACATTTTAGCATTTCAGACATTATACGCCATTATTAGCAGGTTTTTGTTTTCTATCACCTCGCTGATTGCACTTAACACGTCCAGAGACAATGGGTTCAATTAAAACCACGTTTTCCGAAACTTGCACCTGGCAAAGCAAGTGAGTATAATTAGTGGCAATTAATTTCAATGAGTTTCAGGAAAAAACCGTCCGTTTGCGTTGGGTTGTCTGCTATCGACCCCATATTTTTCCTGTAACTGAGAGCCCAGTAATTAATTAAAGAAGTTTTAATTTTGAACGCATTCCATATTAGGTATTTGAAATGTTTTGTGGATTTTTTTTGCTTTTGTTGTCATTGTCAACTTAGTACGTGTGTTTGTGTGGACTACGCCGGGGTTTTTGTCCCGAAGAAGGTTTCCCTGACATCGCCTGGTTGTGTTCGTAATATATTTTATATCTTTTCGTTTTTTCTTACGCACAAAATAATAAGTTTTTATTCAATTTCCTTTTCCATTTGTGCATAAAAGAAACCGCCAGTTTTAACACCGACCAGATTCGAAAGTGCTGCGAAACGACTGTGCTTTTGACATGAAAGTAACTGTGACTCTGTTCATGTGTATGGGGTAAATGGCGTTGTTATTATACGAAAAAACGATTAAATGATTTGAAACAATTTCTTTTAGATTCAAATAATAATATCCACCTTAGAGATATAGAGGTAATAGGGAAAAATCTAATGGTCTTTAGAATCTGATAAATTAAAAATTATGAAAAGTTTGAGAACGATCTGAAAGAATTAACAAACCGGAAGAATTTGAAAGTTAGAAAATACAAAGAATTTGAGAAAATGGCAGACTGTAAAATCAAATCTTGACGAAACCGAACTGTATAAATCTGCAGTGGAAGGAACAGAAAGGTCTAAAGGAACTAAAGCTCAAAAATCTAAAGTATCAGAAAAATCCTTAGATATGAAGAATTTGAGCACCCGAAAGGTCCAAACAAGTTAAACACTAAGCACTCTCCGAAACCTGTACGAGCAACTTCCAAAAGAAACTGAAAACGTCATAAAACTTCCCCAGAAAAACCAGTTGCATCCATTGTCTATGCGTTAACATTTTCAGGAACGAAGAAGCAAGGAAGAGAAGAAATGGGATATAGACAAAATAAGATGATAAACTACCGTGTGAAAGTCAATAGCTCAAATGGAAGGGAAGCTCACGGAAATGTTTCGAGAGTAACTGTAAAAGGGAGGGTAGCAGCGACGATGTGTAAAAGGAGGCTAAATCTACCCTTATTTAATTTATTTTATAAGAAAAAATTAATGAAAAATGGAAGAAGTTATAATTAATTCGCTACAAACGGCGACAAGAATGTGAGAATACATTTTACCACTTCTTGTAAAT